CCCACCAGGTGGCAGACGCTTAATGTAGGAGCTGCCCCCTGGTGGTCAGTGTGCTTCCACAGCCAACCTCCTGTGGCTGGCCAACCTCCCACAATCCCTCCCTCACCGGACTGGGTGAGATGGCCCCTATCGGCTCCGATCGCCTGCCAGACCAAAAGGGACCCCACCTGTGCACAAATTTGTGTGCCAGGCCTCTAGTAATCTTAGAAGAAGCAATCTATTTGGGACAGTACCAAATTAGGAACATGGGTTTCCCATCTTCAGTTTCCATTGGACCTAAAGTAAAAAAAAAAAAAAAAATTTCCACTAAATCATGTTCATGTTTATGGTTAGATTAAAATGCTTTTAGGTGGCTTCAATTTCCCTTTTCTTTTTTATTATAGAAACATTAAAGGGAACATTCTTTTTATGGATATGTTTTTTAACATAGCACTTTTTTGAAAGGTGTTTACTCCTTGGGGGTTTTATACCAGAGGAAGACCAGATAATATCTTCTCACTTACCATTCTATAAAAGGGTTTACTTGGCATTTTCAGAAAATATTAATGCCCTAGGTATGTTCAATAAAAAAATTTATTTTCCTAGAAAAAAGAATATATATATATATATTATTAATCCTTATTTGAGGATATTTTTCCATTGGTTTTAGAGAGAGAAGAAGAGAGGGGAAGAGACACAGAGAGAGAAACAATTATGTGAGATAGCCACATTATTGGCTCATTGGGATCGAGTCTGCAACTGAGCCACATCTCCTTGACCGGAATTGAATCCGGGACCTTTTAGTCCACAGGCCGATGCTCGCTCTACTGAGCCAAAGCAGCTAGGGCAAGAATATATTATATTAATAATTTATTTGAGAAGAGAGGGAGCAATTGAGGGAAATGTTACATATTTGAAGGGGGGGGGAGATAGTATTTATGCATAAATTTCTTGAGAAACTGTAAAACAAATGATTTTATAAACCCTCACCCGAGGATATTTTCCCAGTGATTTTTTTAGAGAGAATAGAAGGGATTGGAGAGACAGAGAGAGAGAGAATCATTGATGTGAGAGAGACACATCAATTGGTTGCCTTCCGCATGTGCCCAGATGAGGGCCAGGGATCGAGCTTGCAACCGAGGTACATGCCCTTGACCGGAATTGAACCTGGGACCCTTCAGTCCACAGGCCAACACTCTTATCCACTGAGCCAAACAGGCTAGGGCAAGACAATTTTATATGGTATTATAGTGGAAGATTGGGTTTGATAGGAAGAATGTTCTTATCTGTCTGGAGATGGGAGGATATTCTGAGTGTATGTATATCT